ACATGTAGGTGCCGTAAAATCATGGAAAAGTTTTGAAATTCTGTCAGTGAAAAAGAGTGGAAACCCTGAGACCTGAAATAGTCCTGGTTTAGTCTTAGTTTAGTCCTGGTTTAAATCAGATTGGTCAAAAATAGAGACACCTGGGACATGTCTTTAATAAAACTGGGACAAATCACTGTTTTTTGGATAAATCTGCTGGGACAGGGGACACACGACTCAGAACCTGGACTGTCCCGGGTCAACAGGGACGTCTGGCTCATTAAAGGTTGTATAGAGGATTTTCCAAGGAACGAGAAACCCCCCCCCCCCCCCCACAGCTCCTACGTAGAAACACCTCCTCCCTCCTTCTCCTTACGCCAGAAACAGGTTTGTTTCTAGAAAACAAGTCCTCATCGCTGCACATGACTCGTAAACAACTAACTACAGTGTTGGTTAGGCAAGACGGAGAAGAGCGGAGCAGGGAGAGGAGCAGAGAAGGGTGCGCGGAGATTCAGTGCGAATGAAGCTACTACTACAACACGCAGCAGCAAGCGGACTCTTTCTTTGCATTGAAAATTACGTTTTCAGACACAGGATATCACATTCGTGTCCTGAAAAACGTTTAAGCAGAAGTTTTCCTGTCCAGGAGTAATTTGTGGACCAGTGGTTCAGTCTTTAGACCCTTCGTCTGCTTCAGTCGCGCCATCGCTGGAATGAATCTCCAAGAATCACCTTAGTTTGGCTTCGCTGCTTTTCCCCTTGTCTTCTTCTTTCAGCGACCTCAAAAACAGACTTTCCTTCATCGCAACAAACTTTGTGCGAACTGCGAGGAAGATATAGGTCAAAAAAGCCGCTAAGAACTGTTGCGTTGGTGGAGTAAACAGCGTCTGTGCGTCTTGCGTCTGTGGACTGTGTGACAGTCGTACGTAAACCACGTAACGGCGGCGCAGGCAAGTCAGTTACACTAGAAACGTAGGGAGTTTGATTGACAGCCTGTCAGCTCACAGATAACGAGGCAGTGTCGTTATCTATTGGCAAATGTTTAGCCCCACCACGTCCAGAGTTGATGAATTTTTATTCTCTTTTTTTTGGTCATCATAATTACAAGGCGACTGCATCTATAATCTATCACTGACAATTTGAAACAAAAAAAATCCTCCATACAACCTTTAACTGTGCCCAAAATTAAATTATTTCTATCTAAATGTGTGAATCCAACAACAATAACAACTCCAGGTCCGTCTGCGATGAGGAAACAACTTCATATAAAGGTTGTATGGAGGATTTTTTTTTTAGTTTAAAATTGTCATTGAAAGTTTAAAATACCATTACAGAGACGCAGCAGCCTTTTAATTATGATGACCGAAAAAAAAAAGAAAGAATGAAAATCTATGAGTTGTGGACGTAGTGAGGCCAGATAAACATCAGCCAATAGAAAACGAGGCTCCCTCTTTTTCTATTGGCTGTTAGGTTGTCAGTCAAACTCCCTACATTTTTAGTGTAACTGACTCGTCGGCCCTCGGGGATTATGTGGTTTTTGCAGTGGTTCTTTGAGGCTTTTTCAAACTGTAGCTTCCTCGCATTTCGCACAAAGTTTGTTGTGACGGCGGACGAGAATCCACGACCAGCTCGCCGCAAAAGAAAGTCCGAAGGGTCTAAAAACTGTCGCGTCGGTCGCTAAAATATTTCTAAACAGGTCACTTCAACAGTAATTCTGAACATGCACTGGATGTAAACAAATGTGATTTCTAGAGTAAAGAGGCGGGAGGAGGAGATGTTTCTACTGACGAAGGTGGTGTCACACATGCACGACATTTGAAAAAGGACGGTCGCTGTATTTCGTTTACCTTAAAAAATCCTCTATACGAACCTTTAACCTACAGTAAATCAGAAAATAGTGCATTACAGGCCTTTATGTCATTATTTGATACTTGTGCCTCGGGAAAAAAAAAACATAAAACGTCGTATAGGCAAACGGAATCTGTCCACTAAACCAATCAGACGGCGTGACATTTGAAGTAGCGTTTAGCATTTGGCGTTTAGCATTTAGCAGACAGGAGCCGTAATCAGAGCTCATTGAGACACACTTAAACTTGTGAATGTCGTCTGGAGTGTGTGTGTGTGTGTGTGTGTGCGTGTGTGCGTGTGTGTGTGTGCGTGTGTGTGTGTGTGTGCGCGCGAGCTCAGGGCGTCAGATAAGAGCCAGTGATTCCGAGCCAAAGATAACTGAAGAAAATGGCTGCCAGCGCACGCACTTTTAATTACATCCAGCACAACTTTCGATGAGACGACGAGGGACCGACGGCGACGAGACGAGCGAGAATTAAACCGGAGCCAAGTTACATAAGGTCAGGAAGTACAGCCGATCAAAAGTGCTACAGAAACGCTCTGTACTAGAACTAAACCAGGACTAAACCAGGACTGAACCAGGACTGAACCAGGACTAAACCAGACAAAACCAGACTAAAGAACTGAACCAGGACTAAACCAGGACTGAACCAGGACTGAACCAGGACTAAACCAGGTCTAAACCAGGACTAAACCTGAACTTAACCAGGACAAAACCAGGGCTAACCCAGGACTAAACCTGGACTGAATCAGAACTGAACCAGGACTAAAACAGGACTAAACCAGAACTGAGCCAGAACTGAACCAGGACTAAACCAGGACTGAACCAGGACTGAACCAGGACTAAACCAGGTCTAAACCAGGACTAAACCTGAACTTAACCAGGACAAAACCAGGGCTAACCCAGGACTAAACCTGGACTGAATCAGAACTGAACCAGGACTAAAACAGGACTAAACCAGAACTGAGCCAGAACTGAACCAGGACTAAACCAGGACTGAACCAGGACTGAACCAGGACTAAACCAGGTCTAAACCAGGACTAAACCTGAACTTAACCAGGACAAAACCAGGGCTAACCCAGGACTAAACCTGGACTGAATCAGAACTGAACCAGGACTAAAACAGGACTAAACCAGAACTGAGCCAGAACTGAACCAGGACTAAACCAGGACTGAACAAGGACTGAAAGGTCTCTAGAAAACCAGGACTAAAACCAGGACTAAACCAGAACTGAACCAGAACTAAACCAGGACTAAACCAGTACTACACCAGGACTGAACCAGGACTAATCATGGACTAGAACTTGGAGGCTCCTTGCAGACAGGGTTTCTGCAAAACTCAGTCGGGCGTCAGCTGCGTTTCGCCCCGTGGAGCGTGGAGTTCTGCGTCGGTCCTTTCGCCCGCGGTCACCTGACGGTCTACACGGTCTACGTCTCCGCCGTTTCACCTCTGCTGTTGTCGCGGTGATTTTAGCGAATTTGCCTGAAGAAAAACGAAAAACCCACCACTTGAATCCATGACTGCACTGACTCATGTTCGTCATGAATGGGCCGTGTTAATAACAATTTTCATTAATTACGCACTCGTTTTACAATGTTATTACTACCAGCCACAGTTTTTTTATTTTTGGAAACTCTGGTCACCTGCTCTAACTGTGTTTTCAGTGTCATAGTTCCAGCTTTGTCTGTTCTCTCTGGTTGTTTTAAAAAAGCTCAGATTGAAGTCTAACTTAAAGGTTGTATAGAGGATTTTTTAAGGGAAAAAACATACAGCGACACTCCTTTTTCAGATGTTGTGCCTGCGTGACACCACCTTCCTCCTCCCGCCTCTTTACTCTAGAAATCACGCTTGTTTACAGCCAGTGCGCGTTCAGAATTACTGTTGAAGTGACCTGTCTGGAAATAATTTAGCGACCGACGCATCATTTTTTAGACCTTTCGTCTGCTTCGTTCGCGCCGTCGCTGGAAGGAATCTCCAAGAATCACCTCAGTTTGGCTTTGCTCCTTTTCCCCTTCTCTTCTTCTTTCATCGACCTCAAAAACGGACTTTCTTTTGCGGCGAACCGGTCGCGGATTCTCGTCCGACATCGCGAAAAACTGTGCGAATTGCGAGGAAGATACGGTTAGAAAACGCCTCTAAGAACCGCTCCATAAACGACATAATCCCCGCGCGCCGGCGAGTCAGTTACACTAGAAACGTAGGAAGTTTGACTGACAACCTAACAGCCAATAGAAAATGAGGTAGCCTGGTTATCTATTGGCTGATGTTTATCTGGCCTCAACACGTCCACAGTTGATCGATTTTCATTCTTTTTTTTTTTTGGTCATCATAATTACAAAGCTGCTGCATCTCTGTAATGGTATTTTAAACTTTCACTGACAAATTGAAACAAAAAAAAAAATCCTCCATACAACCTTTAAATAACAGAGCTTCAGACAGAGCAGTTCCTACAGTTGGCTACGTTCAGACTGCAGCCTGAAGTGACCCAAACCTGATTTTTTGGCCTCTATGTTCCTGTATCTGATCTTTTATTCAAATGTGACCCAGGACACTTGGATATGTGCTCCTGAAACTGATACATATCTGATCTTTTGACATGTGACTTCAGTCTGAACGGCCAAAGTGCATTCATCCACCTACACGTCATCAACAAGACACAAACGTCACTATTCTGCGCTGAAGCAGGAGAAAATTGTTAATGAACTCTGTGTGACTGAAGTGAAGCACATCTCCACTCACCACTCTTGGCTCCGTCTCCACATCCACACGTTCCTTTCAACGGACTGAACCACAAAACACCACGACCAAAAACCTCGTCCTTCTCCTTCTCAATCTCCTCCTTAAAACAAGTCAGTTGTTCATGTTCTGGCTCCGGTACGAGAGGAACTTTAAAATCTCCAGGTGCTCGATGCTGCGTCCATGTTTCCACGTCGTCGCTGCGGTTGACGTCGTCGTGTCTCCAGTGTCACATGTGGGACACTTTTGGGCCGTTTAATGTTCACACTGGAGACACATACAAGTCACATTTAACTGGAAATGTGAACGACCTCGAAAAAACATCGGATTTCACAAAAAAATCGGAATTGAGCGTTAAGCCCTGCAGTCTGAACGTCGCCTTAGAGTCACACCCCCGACTGTACAAACTAAACTCTTCTTTTTGTCTTTTCACAGGCCGGTGGTGGAACAGCGCCCCCTACCTCCCCCGCTCCCGTCTCCTCCTCCTCTTCCTCTGCTGCTCCGAGGCCCGAGGAGAAGAAACTCATGTCCAAAGACTCTATTCTGTCCCTGTACAGCAGCCAACCACAGGGGGCGCCACCGCAGCAGAACGCCACCGGACAGGGTAAGAAACCACGCACCACCACGACCAGAGTAGAAACAATCATCCATCCAGAATTTATCCACAACGATCGAGGGAAGAAAGACGAAAACTTAAAGGAGAACAGGGACTAAGTCTACAAGAGTCAATTTTGTTTAATAAATAACCTTTAAATGTGTATATAGTGTCTCTCTTAATGTTTTTTATTCACATTTTGAGGATTTCTGTGGGAAAATGATTAAATTTGGTCCCATAAACTCTCACATAATGTTACAAACAGTGTTAAAGCGTTTTTACTTTTGAATATTATAATGTTGAATAATTTCTTTTATAAATCTGTGTACGATGTTTCCGTGAGGTGTTCAGAGCAGAGGAGAGGACTGTTCAAAAGTGGTTTAATAAAACAATTTTTTTTTTGCGAAATTATAATGAAATACTTTTTATAAGTTCAAGGTTTCTCTCTTGTTTTATCGCCCACAATTATTACCAACAAATTATTAAAACAAGTCGACTAAACTGTTCTACATTTAAACATGGAAATGTGTTGGTGCGGCAGAGTGGTTATCCTATACAATCCATGTGTCATTTGTTCATTTGTTTTTCAAAATAAAACCAAAAATAAGAAAATGGAAAAAAAATATATATATATATAAATATATGTATATATATATGTATATATATATATAATATATATATATATATATATATATATATATATATATTATTATTTTATTTTTTATTTTTTTTCTTCATTTGTCTCCAAAACCAAAATGAAAAAAAACAGATAACGTCCGATTCCCGTTTCTGTGACTTAAACTGTGATGCTGAACTGAACCAAGACTGAACCAGATCCGGGACCAGACCAAAACCAGAAGGAAACTGAGACCAAGACCTACACCCGGACCAGACCAGAAGTGAATCTGGGACCAGGACCAGGACTGAGACCAGGACTGAGACCAGGACCAGACCGTGATTGAGACCGGGACTGAGACCAAAACCAGACGAAGACTGGGACCAGATCAGGACTGAAATCGGTTTGTCCTGGTTTAGTCCTGGTTTAGTCCTGGTTTAGTCCTGGTTCAGTTCGGCATCACAGTTTAAGTCATAGAAACAGGAAACGGGCCGTTATCCATTTTTTTCATTTTTCACTCAAACACAAAATCACAGATTTATTATCCTTCTCGGAGGTTGTGGGTTAGATTTCCAAAGTACAAGCAGTAAAAAATGAATAAAATAAAATTAAAAAAAAGAAATAAGCCGTTTTTTGTGAGTCATGTGTACATGTTTTTTTTTTGTTGTTGTTTTTTTTGCAGTGTACATGGGTCAGCCTCAGATGTCCTTCTCTGCCGGGGCCGGGGTGGGGGCAGGAGGTGCGGGGCAGGAGCGGGGGGCGGGGCGGTGCCTAACGGAGGGTACATGCAGCCGGGCGCCATGGCAACAGGGCAGACCCCGTACGGAGCCCAGCCGGGTCCTCAGCAGTGGAGCGTCAACCAGGTACTGTCCACACCAGACGCCGAGCACCAGAGCAACACACCCACACTGTCCACACGTTGATCAAACTTTACAAACACGAAGATCTGGAACCGAATCGTGACGTTCTGTTTCCAGTCGTCCACGTCACAAGTCGACTCCAGACTTTTCTTTAGCCGACGGTGCAAGACCAGAACACGTCTACGTCTACAATCTACATCTAAATCTACGTCTACACCACAGCAGAGTTTATCAGCTCCAATGATCTGAGGACGACACTTATAGAGTTAAAGGAGAAAATGAACAGAGCAAAACCAGGACTAAACCAGGACTAAACCAGGACTAAACCAGGTCTAAACCAGGACTAAACCAGGACTAAACCAGGTCTAAACCAGGACTAAACTAGGACTAAACCAGGTCTAAACTAGGACTAAACCAGGTCTAAACCAGGACTAAACCAGGTCTAAACCAGGTCTAAACCAGGTCTAAACCAGGACTAAACTAGGACTAAACCAGGTCTAAACCAGGTCTAAACCAGGACTAAACCAGGACTAAACCAGGTCTAAACCAGGTCTAAACCAGGTCTAAACCAGGTCTAAACCAGGACTAAACTAGGACTAAACTAGGACTAAACCAGGTCTAAACCAGGTCTAAACCAGGTCTAAACCAGGTCTAAACCAGGACTAAACTAGGACTAAACCAGGACTAAACCAGGACTAAACCAGGACTAAACCAGGTCTAAACCAGGTCTAAACCAGGACTAAACTAGACTAAACCAGGTCTAAACCAGGTCTAAACCAAACCAGGACTAAACTAAAAACCAGGTCTAAACCAGGTCTAAACCAGGTCTAAACCAGGTCTAAACCAGGTCTAAACCAGGACTAAACCAGGACTAAACCAGGTCTAAACCAGGTAAACCAGTCTAAACCAGGACTAAACCAGTCTAAACCAGTCTAAACCAGATCTAAACCAGGACTAAACCAGGTCTAAACCAGGTCTAAACCAGGACTAAACCAGGTCTAAACCAGATCTAAACCAGGACTAAACCAGGTCTAAACCAGATCTAAACCAGGACTAAACCAGGTCTAAACCAGAACTAAACCAGGACTAAACCAGGTCTAAACCAGGTCTAAACCAGGACTAAACCAGGTCTAAACCCGGTTTGACCCTTTATTCTCTACTACATAAATCTCTGTGTTTTTTTGAGTCCGTGGTCCGAGTCTGAGTCCAGGTTCTTGTTTCAGAGTCGTGTTTCCTGCTTTGATTCGCTCTAATTTGACCAAACTGTGCTCAGATCTGAACCAGAACTCGGACCGTCCTGGACCTGAAGTGTGAGCTCTTCCTCCCGGGTTTTGCGTCAGTTTTTGGGGTTTGTGGAGGAGCACTCGTGACGCTCTGTACTCCTGAGTTTGTATGCAGGTGCTTTTCGTACATTTCACTCAGTTTCATCATTGAGTTTGAAACACGGAGGCGCGGGCAGGAACCTTTTTCTCTTTTATATTCATGTTTTGATTTCAGCTTTTTCTCAGACGCTTCATTACAATCAGAGAAGAAGAAGAAGAAGAAGAAGATCGCTCTGGACACGTTCACTGCGCCAATCGAAATCTAATCTCTGCACATTTCTGCTCCATAGTTGAGGTTCTAATTACGATTTGGGAGTTAAAGGTTGTATGGAGGATTTTTTTTTTTGTTTAAAATTATCATTGAGTGTGTTTACATGCACATCAATAACCCGGTTATGATCAGGTTTTTTGAGTGTCCCGGTTTCTTCATGGTGCATGTAAACGCAGTAAACCGGTTTCAGTAACCCGGTTATGGCAGTGTCCCGGTTATTAGAAACCAGGTTACTGTAGCTGGTTTATTCTGATAGTAACCGGGATACTTGTGGCATGTAAACGCAGTATCCCGGTTACTGCAACATAAAGTTGAGTCACATGCGTCCAAAAGACACTTTCCAGCCTTTCACCACAACAGTAGTGACATAAATAAATTGACCAACATAAATAAAGTGACCAAACGAGTGAAATGACTGTTAAAATAAAGAGCTGCACTAAACCTGCACACGTACAATCTGCACTCGTACGACCTGCACTCGTGTGACGCTGAAAAGCTAAAACATGAACTATCTCCTATACTCTATACACACAGAACACACTCACCATCATCAGCACCTCTTCTGTCACAGAAATAACACACATAATCCACAGAGTCGTGTCATTTAGTCCAAAAGGAACTGATCGCATCAGCGGCGCAAGGAGCGAGTTGTTTTTATCGCCGCTAACAGTTTATGCTAATTAGCCAAACGGTCTTAAGTTTCATTTCTGTAAAACGTAAACAAATGTGATCAGAGCTGAATGATCTGATCAAACGGGCTGATGTGGATCTATAGTGTTTATGGTTTATATGTTGTAAAGTTGAGTTTATTTATGCAGAAGATTTTAATGAAGAATCTGCACAGTGGATTGTGGGAGATCTCGTAGCTCCTTAGCTTCTTATGCTAAAGGAGCTCACGGTTTGTATTTTTCCTGGTTTATGAAATTGATTTAAGTTAATTTCTGCGCCTGCGCATTTGTAAGATTATGTCAAGAAACCGGGATACTCCATTTGATCATGTACACGCGGATATGAGTGTCCCGGTTTCTCAGTGCTCATGTAAACACAGTAACACGAACACTGACAGAACCGGGATATGACTAATAACCGGGTTATTGATGTGCATGTAAACACACTCATTGAAAGTTTAAAATACCATTACAGAGACGCAGCAGCCTTTTAATTATGATGACCGAAAAAAAAAGAAAGAATGAAAATCCATCAGTTGTGGACGTAGTGAGGCCAGATAAACATCAGCCAATAGAAAACGAGGCTCCCTCTTTTTCTATTGGTTGTTAGGTTGTCAGTCAAACTCCATACATTTTTAGGGTAACTGACTCGTCGGCGCTCGGGGATTACGTGGTTTTTGCAGCGGTTCTTAGAGGCTTTTTCAAACTGTAGCTTCCTCGCATTTCGCACAAAGTTTGTTGCGACGGCGAACGAGAATCCACGACCAGTTCGCCGCAAAAGAAAGTCCGAAGGGTCTAAAAACTGTCGCGTCGGTCGCTAAAATATTTCTAGGCAGGTCACTTCAACAGTAATTCTGAACATGCACTGGATGTAAACAAATGTGATTTCTAGAGTAAAGAGGCGGGAGGAGGAGATGTTTCTACTGACGAAGGTGGTGTCACATGCACAACATTTGAAAAAGGACGGTCGCTGTATTTCGTTTCCCTTAAAAAATCCTCTATACAACCTTTAAGGCGCTGTATTTTTACCGCCTTAAAAACGTGAAAAACGAGTTCATTTTGAAGAGTTTGTAGTCGTCCAAAGTTATTCCTCCATTATTCTTTCAGAGCGTCTTAAATATTCACAGTGAGTTAAGTGTTTTTTTTTACAAACTTTCAGAAGCCAGAGTTGAGTTTTGGCGTCACAGTAAAGCAAATAACAACAACTACCTCGCTAACAGTGCACTTCCTGATTCTCGGACAATAAAATGCTTTTGTAATTAGATGCAGAGAGAACACAGCAGATTTATTTAGAGCTTCAGCAGGTTCTATTCACACTGACCGGAAGACGTTTGGAAACATGCAGACGACGACTTCTGGTCAAATCCGAGTATCGTTCGTTCATTTGTGTTTCAATATAAAACCAAAAATAAGAAAATGGAAAAAACAACAGTTTTCTTCGTTATTTGTCTCCAAAACCAAAATGAAAAAACAGATAATGATTCGTTTTT